TAATTGGATTATATTCCAAAATATCACGAAATTCACGTGATAAACTCGAATTATTAAAACCGGTTCCAACCTCTAGTCGTGATAAAGTTGATGAGTTTAGAACGGTAGTGAGAGATAGGAAGTTTGCATTCGGGGTTTTTGTAGGGGCTTTGGAAGAAAAATTTGCGATAGGGGCATATAGATCAGCTGAAAGGTCAGAAGGCAATATTGTTATCACTGTGTACAATAGAATGTGTGAAGATATAGAAAGGTTTATCGCTGGTCGATTTTCTGAAAAAATTCGTGTATTAGAAAATAGAAATAGTTTATTTATATTAGATTATAATTTAATGTTTTATTCGTTCTCTATTACTTTTGTAATTTTATATTATGTATTATTAGTATTTTATAGATATTTATAATACTATTGCATTCTGACCTTTTATCTGTTGTAATTAAATTTTTTACTTTTCTTTATCTTTTTCTTTTTTTTTTTTTTTTTTATTAATAAAAAATTTTTTCACTAATGCATATATTGTATCAGAGAAATTGTATAAAGATAATAATCTATTATAATCTTCTATTCGTAGTTGATGTAAATTCAAGTTTATTAGATCTGAGTAAATGCCAAATAAAATGTACTTCGCACTATTTTTTGCAGTATAAATGAAGGTTTACTTTGCACGTGCATTTCGTGAACTTATTCGCATATGATCGAGAATTTTTAAAATTTTTCTTGGAGAAAGTGATCGGCGTGAACAAATTGTTCACGTAAATATGATTTTTTTTTATTTGAAATTAAAGGTATTAGCTAATAAAAAATATTTTTCTAAGACGTGTATAGTAAAAACCTTTTTCCGAACATTTCTGATAAAGCTACATAAATTAATATTAAACATGCAAACTCAAAAATACGAATCTAAAGACTTATCCGAAATAGATTTATTAAGAAACGGATCATTGATCTTGAGGCTGAAAACACGAAGTTAAATAATATAATAAAAGAAAGCATTAGACGTGAAGCTGAGCATGCGAAACTTAAAAAAGATACTACTAACCTCAAGGCGGAAAATGCCGAACTTAAAGCTGAAGTAACAAAATTAAGACATGATATTGAGGAAATCAAAAAGAAAGATCAAACTGTTACTGATACACAGGATGCATCTTCTACAGAAGATATTTCTAACAACGCTTCAAATTCTAATGAATCCAAATATTCTGATGAATACAAACCTATCCACACAGAGTTTAAATAAAGAAATTAAATTTCTGGAACGGGTAAACAAAGAATAGATTAGAGAAAGAAAACGGGAACAAAAGCTGTTACAAAATAATAAACCATCTTATAACCAAGACTCTTTATATATGATAAAGATAATTAATCAGAGCAATCCAATTCATCATGTGTCATAAGAACCGTTATAGTGGAAACTTCTTGTCCCGGGTCCGAATCATCTACTAATATTTCGTCTAATCAAAAACAAGATTTTATCGTTGCGAAAAATAATGGACTTACACCTTCTGAAAAAGAATTCCATATAATCAAAAAGTAGAACAGGGTTTAATAAGTGAATTACTTGAATTTATTAGGAGCAACAACATCATGATCTTACAAAATTTGTATTCTATATTTACAATAATAATATCATGCGTAGATATAGAATTCAAACATGGAAATTTTAACAATGAAAATGATTAGTAATCATTGTTATAATTTCCTTTTTTGAATTCTACCGCCATCTACGTATATGTGTTTCCAGGTAGCGCACCTTTCAGCAAAGCGGAGAAAACTGGACGGAAAGAAAAATTACAATGGTATTGTTATAGTGAAAAAGGTTTCAACTCAGTTCAGAAAATAATATTAGTAATCAAATGATAAGAACACAATATATGATGAAATGATACAATATTTACCTGGAATTAAAGAGTATTTTACACGCGCACGTGATCCACCACAAGATAGGGTAAGTATACGTATCTACTGAATCTGTTTCTACCGATTTAGAAAAATTTCCAGAAACTGAAGTAAATATATCTTCTGATTCATCTCCAAAAAATAATCAGGATTTAAAATTACCAGAAGTTGAAGTAAATATATCTACCGACAACATTGCATCCGAAAATTCTAATTCGGAATCCTTTGATGATAATTATAATGATAATAAAGACAATAATGAAACGAATCCAAAGAATTCAACTAAGGTAAATACTCCAACTAATCCAACTCGCGCTTATTTCTGTAATAAAATAATAGAACAATATCGGGAAGGTAGAGATGGAAACAATGATTATTATAGACTTAATGATGAATCTTGATGCCCGCTATGCAAATTAAATCATTATGAGGAGTATGGTATAAAAGGCAGATATGAAACTGGATCCTATTTTATTAAATGTGAACAGCGTATAATCAAAATTGAGGTAACAGCATGAACTTAAATTTATACTAATACAGTTCGCTTAAGTTTTTAAGGTGTCTCTTTGGGACATGTTTATTTTTTTTTTTCGTTGGTTATTACCTATGGTAGCTCCGCTATTAATTTAAAGAAATGGGAATAATATAAAACAGGAACATGAATACACAAACAAATACCAATAAAACATTAACTCCCGAATATTTGGAGTGGGAAGCCAAATTAGAATTACCAAGCATTTTGTCAAATAAAACTCGTTCTAGGTTTTATAAGAGATATAAGAATAAAACTGGACTAGATCCTTGGATAAACTCTGAAACTTTTGAATCCTCCCAAATCGAAGATAACGGAGGTACGCATATTACCTATAAAGGTGAATATATCTAACAAATCTCGTCTTCCAATTTCCATATTACCCGATAATTCAGAAGAAAAACGGAATCATGCTATTAAAATGATATTGGACCGATTCGCTAATTTATCTTTTAAGGACAGTAATGAATATGTTGATTATTTCAGTTGTCTAGAAACATGTCCAGCATGTAATGAAGAGCATAAAGAAGATGACGTGAAAGGTTGGTGGGGTGCTGGTAATTATTGCGGTGAAGAAATTTATCGTCTCTATTGTTGTAAAGAACTTTTAGTGAAATCCCCATAGTAAATGTGAAAAAAAGAGGATCTAAAAGAAAAATGAAAATATTTTATCAACAAGGTATTGGAATAGTATCCCGGTATATCTTTGAGTCGCAGTACTGATTCTGATGATATATATCAAAACAATACCTCTTCATTATGTCCATCATGTAAGCAAAACCATTCGTAGGTCGGTTTGTAAGAGGGTTCTATAACATTAGATGCAGATTTAATTATACAGGAGTAATTAATGTAACTGCTGAACTGCATAAACAATAGATAATTTATAATATGTAAAATAATAGCCATCAAAAAAATCGCGTAAAAATAAAAAATGGTGAGGTCACC